GCGGCGCACGGCGGCGGAAGAGGGGGCAGGTTTGTCAGGGCTGCATGGTAGCGCAGACGGGTGTCACATCGGGGGGGGGCATGTTCGATCGGGAGTGTGCCCAGGAGGCTTCAGGCCCTGGAGGGTTCCTTATCTGATGAGGGCGGCGGTAATATCCATGGCCAGTCCTCCATTGGAGTTCCGCCAGCATCGGACCCGGGATTCCTTATCCATTGGTTCCTGATCCAATGCCCCCACTGTACTTGTAGAGGTGTTTTCTGATTTCTCACGTTCTGTTGAGGCGTCGTCGCCACGCGGCTGGACCTGCTCTGGGAGAGACAGATTTCGGCAGGGACAGCTTCAGCTTATCTCTGTCCCGTGTAAAGCAAACAACACGATTGAAGTTCGTCTGAGGATAACGTAAGGAACGTGCGTAGAGGCTTGGTTGTCGACCATAAATTGTCCCCGAAGTGTGCTCACATTGAGACGCTCTTACTTGTTTCGGAGAGCTTGTCTTGTGGGTTGGATCTTCGGGGGGTCCGTATGCTGGCTGGCATCGTTGCGTGTACGTGTACGCACTTACGCACCTGTGTTGTGAGAGTGGCGTTGGGTTGAGCCAGCAGAGCGGGAGTCACGTCGGATCACCTAAGGGGGATATATTGATCCACTAATGCGCTTGCGCTCGGCGGATTGATCTCGGTACGTTCGGGACTGAACACTTGGGCCTGCCTTATGGCCCTCTTGAAGCCATATTGGCACCCTCGTGTGGCCTTCTTGGGCTCTCGTTGCCTTCTGTTTGGTGTTGGACAGACTGTTCCATCGCGCCCAGGAGATCCGACTGTGCTCGGGATAAGCAGTGGCCGAAGCTCAGTCCTAGACGCCTCGAGACATCCTCGCGTCAGATTCGTAAGGTATCGCGCCGCGGCTGAGCGGAAGCACCTCAGGGACCCAAGGGGAGGACCAAGGACGCCAATCTACGAATCTGTGAATTCCCAGGGAGGCATGGTCTTAACGTGTTCCTGGTTGAGCACTTACGCATGTCTTGGGACCCCGTTGGGATCGTTTGGGTGACGTCTTGGGACTATCTGCCTACATTGTGGCCCTCCTGGGCCCTTTTAGGACCAATTGAGCACCCCCTGGGAAGTATCCATGTCGGACGGTCGTCGAGAAGTGGTGGGGCCGCCTCTAGCCCTGGGGGTCAGGCCCACAGCTCTCTGCAAAGAGGCTTGCCTGTCGACGTCCTGGTCCACTGTACCAATCCCCTCCATTCCGAGTCAAACTATTGCAATGGTTTCCCATGTTATTGCAATGGCTTCCGCTATTGTTGCAGTGGTTCTCTTCATGCACTGGGTTCCTGCGGCCATCCCAATGGCGTCCCAACAACGGCCCAACAATCATCAAACTTAGAAGTAGAGTAGAGGAGAGCAGACAAGAGTAGCGGAGAGTAGAGAGGAATAGATGAGTGGGGTACATCATAATCAGAGTGAGGGGGCCGAACGGTCATTCGTCATTCACTGTCCTGGGCGCGTGGATGCAGCGAGGTTCCGCGCAGTGGATTGTTGTTGTCGTTGTTTGTTGTTTGTTGTTTGTTGTTTGTTGTCGTCGTCCCACCCGTGACCCGGCCCGCGACCCACTCGAGACCCACCCGCGACCCAACCGCAAACCACCCGCGACCCATCCGCGACCCACACGCGACCCACCCCGCGACCCACCCGCCACCCACCCGCGACCCACACGCGACGCGGCCCGCAACCCACCCGCGACCCACCCACACTGCTTTAACGAACAATCGGTGCCAGCGGCGGTCTCGTTGTATAATTTGTAAAATTTGGCGCTTGCGGCAGACTTCTTCGGAGCCTCGAGGACTGCCGACGTCCCCGCCGCCCCGTCACTCTTTACCGCAACTGCGGAGTGCTACTGTGCTACGGCACAGTAAGTAGAGCCGGCCAGAGTAGAGAAGAGCAGAGTAGAGCAGGGGTTGGAGTCAAGTTTGCCAGGTCGAGTGAGTCAGAGGGCCCCGTTTGTTTCCATCTCCCCTCCCATTCTCTGAGAAACACGTGTGTCACAAAAGCTGAAGGCGCTCGCGCGCGGCCACGATCCCGAAGACGCGGCGAAGGGAATGGCACGCGGGCCGAGCAGAGGCGGCACCAGCTGAACTTTCGATGGGCGTGGCGAAGACGAAACACGCGCCGCTCTGACCCAGCACTGCCAATTTCACTAACAAGCTGCGGGGCGCTTGGGCGAAGACGGCATTTCACCCGCTCTCGCGCGGCCCCGTTGCCGCTGCCGTTTTCATGCGATTCGGCGAACGAGCAATGTGCCGCGCCCTGGTTCGAACGCCACTTCTGAGCGAAATGCACGTGGGAGCTTGGGCAACGGCGACCAGTCGCCCACCCGCGCTCTGGCCACCCCAAATTGGCGGGCGAAAGATCTGCGCCGCAGCACGGCGGGAACGCCACTTGCAGGCGCAATCTGCGCGGCGCCGAGGCGAGAGCGACAGTTCGGCATGCCACGCGGGCCGTGCGTCCCGTCCCGCACTTGCCATGAGGTTTGCAACACGGGCGGCGGGATGTCCATGTTGGAACGAAACGCACACTTGTTGAGTAGTTCTTGTTGACAGACAGGATGCACACCCCGGATATTACCGATATCGGCCAATTTCGCGGCATGCTATCCATAATTATTCATACTCATGCATGTGCGTATACACATACTTATACATACACACATACATATGCATATGCACATACATGTGCATATACACACATGTATAATATGTATGGACATTTATTTATATATATATACATACATATACAAATAGGTACATTTATGTATATACACATACCTCAGTTGCTGAATTTCACCATCTATAAAACGAGCCCGCCGCAGGCGCCGAATTATTTCGTTAAAGAAATGTGGGTGGGTCGCGGGTGGGTCGCCGGTGGGTTGCGGGTGGGTCGCGGGTGAGTCGCGGGCGGGTCGCGGGGGTGGTCGTGGGCGGGTTGTGGGGTGGGTCGCGGGTGGTTCGCAGGCGGGTCACAGTTAGGTCGCGGGTGGGTCGCGGGTGGTTCGCGGGCTGGTCGTGGGTGGGTCGCGGGTGGGTTGCGGGTGGGTCGCGGGTGAGTCGCGGGGTGGGTCGCGGGTGGGTCGCGGGTGGATCGCGGGTGGGTCGCGGGTGTTCCGCGGGCTGTGTCCCGGGGAGGACGACTACGTTAACAACGCAACGCAAAACAAACAATTGCAGCATCATGAACAATAACAAAGCCAAGAACGACACTAGCAGCAATAACAACAATGATTGAAATGGTGTTCGTTCTTATTTGTGCGCGCGCTGTGCAACACATGTATCCCAAACCCCTCAACACCCGCGTTCGTCCTCTTCGATCGTACGCACACCCATTTGGAGTATCTGTTTCTTACCTGCAACGCGTATTCCATACAGCCCCTACGGTCGAGGAAGGAAGGACGGAGGGAAGAAAGGACAAGGGGCAGGGAGGAGGATGGAGCACGAGAGAGAAAGTAGCAGAAGGGGCGCTGGGAGCAGAAAACACGTGGCAGAACCAGCCGGGTAAATCGGGAAGATGTGCCCTAACAGGCGGGTCGTGAAAGAGGGCCCAGGCGGCCAGGCCTAGCAGGCGGATTGCTGAAGCGTGCGTTCTGCATGAATCGCGAGTCTTGAGCGATAGCGCGATTCCCCCGTAAATCGTGAGATAGGCCAAAGCGAGAGCGTGCTTCTTGAGTGTCGACGGCGCAGTGTTAGAAGAATTTGCGAGGAAGTCCCACGCGAGATCGCGCTTTCGGCATGCACTGCGAGGAGGTCCCGCGCGAGAGCGCGATTTGGGAATCCACTGCGAGGAGATATCCGGCGGGAACCGTTGCTGCTGTGACTCGAGGGCCCGCCTCCCTGTTTGACGCCCAAGACGCTCCCTGGTAGAAAAACACGGTGCGAGCCCCGGGAGGAGCACTTCAGTAGACAAACGCAATGGTTACAGGAGGGGGGATCAAACATAACCGACCACGGGCGATAATAAAGTGCCCCCCCCATTCGCCCCCTCAATGTTTATTATCCCCGTCAAACAGGCTTCAATTGTGGAGGAAAGGGCGGAGGCCGATTGTTATAATCCATGGGAAAATTGCGGAGATCGAAGTTGCGATCATATCATGTTGACTAGCAACAGTATCAAACACGCTAAGCATGGCCATGGTGGGTCTCACCACACCAGCTTCCGCAATCACGAGCGTGTGGCAGGGTTGTGGGATTCTCACCAGTTCAGCTTGCCCGCGTTACGAACTCGCGGCAGGGCCATGGGATTCTCATTTTCTTAGCCGTTCCCGAGTCAGGAACGTGCGGCAGGGCCATCGGGACCGATTGGATTTTGATTGTGCATGCTTTTTTCGAGCAGACAGAGCATTGGAGTTAGTTAATTAAGTGACGTACTTTTTTAGTGCACCCCTCACACGGTTCGTGGCCCTTCTTCCTCCTCCTCCTTCTCTTCCTCCTCTGATTTCCTCCTCCTCTGGCCCCCGCAGCTGCCCGGGCCCAAGCTGCCTCCGAGACTCCGCGCTTTCGGGCCTCTTCGAAGCGCCGAGCCTCTTCGCCCCAGGGGCAGCGATAGGGGGAGATAGGCATTCGGGGGGGGACATCGACTTGGAATCGGCGATACATCGCCGATGCATCGGGTGCGCATCGCCGATGCATCGGCGATGCACCGCCCCCCCCCCCCCAATGCGCATCCCCTCACACCGTTGCCCCTGACTGCGTCGCGAGCCCCAGCGTTGTCCCAGCCCGCCGAGCGCACCGCGGCGGCGAGCGCCCCCGTCAAGGCGCTGAAGAACGCGGCGACCCCGAGCCCGAGCTCGAACGAGATTCTCGAGCGCATGGCCAAGCAAATCGAGATGATCCTCGAGCGGCTGTCCTACATGGCCGCGAAGGCCTCCATCGCCGAGATGCGCCAGCGCCAGTCGAGCGCGCAAGGCACGGATGCAGCGAGGATGACGAGCTGTTATTTCAAGGCCGAGAG